GTAAATCTTTATCTCCAAGAAAAAGTGAAAGAAAAGCAAAAGGAATGACAGTCATCACCCGAAGACGATTGTGAAGTAACTTGGCTTGAAATCTTTCATTTATTTTTTTTGATTGTTCAATTTTCAATTGTTGCTTGTATGTAATTTCATTCCAGGATTTTTTGTTTAATATAATTGTTATTTTCAGCTATTCATTTTAATTTTATTGATTATTTTAGGGATTTCAAATACATTGATGGATGTAGCCGTTACTACGTGGTAGGAAATCATAATGAAGAAATAAGAATTGAAACTTTCTATGTTTTTACCATTTTTATTTGTAACTAACGTTACCGCAATTTCGTCCTATAAGAACATTTTCAAAGTTATACATTAAACTGTCCTTATAGGACGAAACTGCAGTAACGTTAGTTACAAATAAAAGTGGTAAAAAAATATAGATTTCAAATACTTTTATATCATATTAGACAATGGAAGTCCAAAATAATGAAATATGTAAGATATTATGTATTGTAAGTAATTGAATATAGTTTGAAAAGAAGAAACAAGTCTCAGTTCATTAGAAATAAACTATCACGATAAATAACAATCTTGGGGTGATTTATTGAGTAAATGTTGGTCCCAATCAACAAAACTAAATAGATTCGAAATCAGCATTTTTAAAATGATAATATTCAGCCATAGGAGTTATATTTTTATTTAAGGTACATTGATACTAGTAATATTAATATCATCCCCCTTTAGATAATATTTGTCCGGTGTTACGAAATGTTCATCGGATTTTGTTCAGAGTCAAAGGTTTGTTTTAGATATATTCAGAATCAGCACGTTAGCATCACACCTCACTTTTATTTTCTCAATATCAGAAGTAAGACACTTGACTAAGGCAGCGCGATCTTTAATATGCCAGAGAATTGCAGCATCATTTACAAACAATGTGAATCGTTCAGAAATATTGATACAGCCTATAAGATAAATAATCAATAGAAGGAAAAAAATTGAGCCCAGAACTAACCCACCACACACAATTATTTCACTTCCAGATATATTTCCACCCACTGTTACTCTCTGGTTTCTGCCAGCAAGGTATAAACTGAATAAATGAAGTTCTATACCTCGACTACCTATTTTATGCCTCATGACTTGAGCCATCTAAAGTCTTGGAAAAATCAAGAAACACTGCGGTAGCCACCTCTTTTCCTTTCAGGCTCACATATACCTCTTCGAGAAAGTTGAAAATGGCATCTGTTGTTTTTTTCTTCAAGTCAGCAGCTAAAATTTTATGTCTCCCCAAGAAACAGACGACTCTTAAGTTTCACCAATTTCTCAATTATTTTTGGTTTTGACAGAATTGAGATAGCTCTGAAGTTGAACGGATCATCAGTAGAACCTCCTTTGTTGAAGAGGTCTCAATTGCAAACTTCCAACTAGAAGGAATTACCATCAGTAAAAAATGAATTATTCATGGCCAAAACCAAAGCAACAAGTGCTTCATCATCTGCAGCAATAATTCTGCTGACAATTTGTTGTCGCACGAAGTTTTGTTTAATATTGATATCAACTCAGTCGAATCAATAGTAGAACCTCCTTTGTTGAAGAGGTCTCAATTGCAAACTTCCAGTTTGATATCAACTCAGTTGAATCAATATCATACAAAACCAGAGAATTTAATGTATAGAACACCTTTTTCAAATTATCCAGAGGGTTGACAGCAGATTTTATATTCTCAGTTAATTGAGTGGCTATTGAGCAATAATGTTTTTTCATANAAAAAAATATAACTTACTGAATAGAACGATTTCTCGAAAGAAACAAGTTTTTTGATCTTATGAAGCACTGTTTGGAACCTTTGATGTAGTAATTAATATTACTGGAATTTTTTCCCAACACCAAATCGTTATTTTTAACAACGATTTTAACAGTTTTAAGATTAAAACAGTTTTAATCTTTCTCTTTGAAGATGATCACTTGGTGATCGAAATACGTGTCAAGGTGTTAAAAATAACGATTTGGTGTTGGGAAAAAACTCCAGTAATATTCAAGTTTTTTGATAATAAACATAGTACCTAAACCTTTAGAGATACTTGATTTTTTTCATAAATCTCAATTTACACATTATTTTTTGGGCATTTGTTCCAAATTTTTTGAACAACTCCTTGAAGTTTGTTCCACATATATGTATCTGTACTGTATAATGCAAAGAACGTGATGAAGAACAGTGTTAGCGTCCATAGTTCACATACATATGAGTTACTTAATTAACAGATTATTTTTTTCAAGGCTAATGATGACTTTTATGATCTTGTTGCTTCGTATTTTTCGTTAGGATTCCAATATAAAGAAACTCTAACATTTCTGAATGTTCTGCACAAAACAGATTTATCGTCGGACCTTGAAGACGTAAACATTTTTCAAGAATAGAAGATGTAGTGGTATTCACAGAAAACGAATTTAACACATCTGGTCAACTTCATGGTTACAAATGGATGCATTTACGTTGCTTGCAGAACAATTTTATTATAACATAGCAAATTGTTCAAGAACTCCTTAGTTTACTGGATCCAGTTGGAGTAGAAGGGCGCAAAAGATATCGGCTTCGTCGCAGGCAATACGACAATAAAGGTCCAAATTATCTATGGCATATGACAAATAAAAGTCCTAAGGTTAGAAAAAATCATTAACTCTGAAACAATTAATAATTTGAACAATAATCATGTCGAACTAATGTTGAAACAAGAACAAATATTTCATTTGAATGTACACTTTTAAACATGCTCGTGTCAACGATATTTCATTAAATTTTACCACATTATTATTTCTCATTTTTACACTAGAAAAAATTTGTAATTTTGAAGATCATATCATCATCACATTCGTCATGATCAAAACAATAGAATCGAATGATACGAATTGATTTCTCTCTGATGTTCGTTTAGCTACCAATTGAAATTTTTTTCACAGAAATTCAAATTTTTCCAGGTAATTGGAGGATATTTCTTAGAAGCAGTGAAGTCCAACGGAGGATGTCCCAGAACTTTACGAACCGATATGGGCACTGAAAATGGAGTAAAGAAGAGGATACAAAAAGCCTTTCATGAAGTATTTGCTGAATCAACAAATCTACCATGTTTTTTGTATGGAAAAAGCATGCACAATCAAAGGATAGAATCTTGGTTATCTATATTAAGTAAACATAATGCACAATACTGGATGAATTCATTTCAAACCCTAATAGAAGACAATTTATTTGATGGATCATTTATGGACAAGTCTCTAGTTTAATTTTGTTTCATACCATTAGTACAAATGAGAGGTAAGTTGTTAATGAAATTTTAATAATGATTCTTATTTCAGAGTGATTTTGATCAAGTATGTTTGGAATTGAGTATTCATAGAATACGGAAAACAAGAAATGCTATTGCTCCAGCAGAGAGACCAAGTATATTGTATGCGATGCCTTCCCTTTATGGAGTTACAGATTACCTGATCAAGATTCCATCATTCGCTTTTAAACATTTTTCTTCGTTTTTTTGAACAACTCCTTGAAGTTTGTTCCACATATATGTATCCGTACTGTATAATGCAAAGAACGTGATGAAGAACAGTGTTAGCGTCCATAGTTCACATACATATGAGTTACTTAATTAACAGATTATTTTTTTTAAGGCTAATGATGACTTTTATGATCTTGTTGCTTCGTATTTTTCGTTAGGATTCCAATATAAAGAAACTAACATTTCTGAATGTTTTGCACAAAACAGATTTATCGTCGGACCTTGAAGACGTAAACATTTTTCAAGAATAGAAGATGCACAGAAAACGAATTTAACACATCTAGTCAACTTCATGGTTACAAATGGATGCATTTTCGTTGCTTGCAGAACAATTTTATCATAACATAGCAAGTTGTTAAAGAACTCCTTAGTTTACTGGATCCAGTTGGAGTTGAAGGGCGCAAAAGATATCGGCTTCGTCGCAGGCAATACGACAATAAAGGTCCAAATTATCTATAGCATATGATAAACAAAAGTCCTACGGTATCTGTATTAACGGCTGTATAGATGGTTTTTCGGGGCATATCATGTGGCGACCCTAAGGTTAGAAAAAATCATTAACTCTGAAACAATTAATAATTTGAACAATAATCATGTCGAACTAATGTTGAAACAAGAACAAATATTTCATTTGAATGTACACTTTTAAACATGCTCATGTCAACGATATTTCATTAAATTTTACCACGTTATTATTTCTCATTTTTACACTAGAAAAAATTTGTAATTTTGAAGATCATATCATTATCACATTTGTCATGATCACCACAATAGAATTGAATGATACGAATTGATTTCTCTCTGATGTTCGTTTAGCTACCAATTGAAATTTTTTTCACAGAAATTCAAATTTTTCCAGGTAATTGGAGGATGTTTCTTAGAAGCAGTGAAGTCCAACGGAGGATGTCCCAGAACTTTATGAACCGATATGGGCACTGAAAATGGAGTAATGGAGAGGATACAAAACGCCTTTCATGAAGTATTTGCTGAATCAACAAATCGACCATGTTTTTTGTATGGAAAAAGCATGCACAATCAAAGGATAGAATCTTGGTTGTCTATATTAAGTAAACATAATGCACAATACTGGATGAATTCATTTCAAACCCTAATAGATGACAATTTATTTGATGGATCATTTATGGACAAGTCTCTAGTTTAATTTTGTTTCATACCATTAGTACAAATGAGAGGAAAGTTGTTAATGAAATTTTAATTATGATTTTTATTTCAGAGTGATTTTGACCAAGTATGTTTGGAATTGAGTATTCATAGAATACGGAAAACAAGAAATGCTATTGCTCCAGCAGGGAGACCAAGTATATTGTATGCGATGCCTTCCCTTTATGGAGTTACAGATTACCTGATCAAGATTCCATCATTCGCTTTTAAACATTTTTCTTCGGAGTTTACATATCCCCGGACAGCCTGTGATGAAGATTTTTGGAAATTATGTTCAATTTTGATGAAAAAAAAAAAATTGCACAAGGTCACCAAGATCCTTATGCCACAATTGATTTATACATTAACCTCAGAAGTGAATTAATTACGTTATTTCAATAAATTTTAGATTGATAATGCATTGTTATTATTCAGTACCTTCGAAAAATGACGTTTCGAGATCTAATGACGCAAAAAAACTAACTGGAGCAGAATCGTTCCCGAACTTTCAATCAAAAAATGAGTAGGCTTCGAATATTCAATAAAATAGGTATCTGCCATCTTTCTTCGTAAGAAACATACAACTATGAGAAGATTGGAGCACTGTCGAAGTGATTTGAAAAGAGTGTCGAAATTTCGAGATAAAAGTCGAAATTACGAGATAAAAGTTGAAGTTATGAGATAAAAGTGGAAATTATGAAATGAAAGTCGAAATTATGGTAGATCAAATAAACAAATAATCTTTGGCCCTTCTACATTTCAGGAGAACTCAATTGAATTAAACACTATTTTATAAAATTTTCATAAATTCGTACAACCTGGAGATTACATTTCTTTTCATATTTCAGAATATTAATTTCACTTCAAATGGAAACTTTCACTAATTGATAAATTCTGTGTTTGTGTGATCATTGTCATAAAACACATGTACTTCAATTCAATTTTCACTCGGAACTGAACCTAAAATTAAATTTCAAAGTATTTCAAATATTACTTTCTTTCCCAAGTTTCAAATATATTGAAAAAGGTTTCAATCTAGTTGTCTTATCACGATGTACACTATAATGATTCATCAGTACAAACATTTTTTGTTCATGATTTATATCATAGGACAATATTTTTCTTAAAAACAAAATACATATCAAACAAAACAATAATTAAAAATATATAACATTCAGATCCGTCAATCCATTCATTTAGGTCCAAGCATCTCTTCTGGTTTCACCCACTGATTGAACTGTTCCTCGGTAAGATACCCTAATTTTATAGCAGTAGCTTTCAATGTAGAATTTTCTTTATGTGCAGTTTTCGCTATCGTTGCAGCTTTATCGTAACCAATATGGGGATTTAGGGCAGTAACTAACATAAGACTTTCGTGAAGTAGTTTATCGATTCTGTCCTCATTAGCTTTGATGCCTTCAACGCAGTTCGTTGTGAAGGCCTTTGTACTATCACCTAACAATCTGATTGATCTGAGAACATTTGCTACCATCATTGGTTTGAATACATTGAGTTCAAAATGGCCATTCGAGCCTCCTATTGTTACAGCAACATGATTACCCATAACCTGAGCTGCCACCATTGTGATGGCTTCACACTGGGTTGGATTTACTTTTCCTGGCATAATGGAGCTTCCTGGTTCATTTTCAGGAAGAGATAATTCTCCTAAACCACACCTTGGTCCAGAGGCTAAAAATCTGTAAAACATTTTTAATTTACCAGAATACATTGTGAACAATAAATGAAAGTCTGATGCAGTTCAAATAAATTAAATGAATATATTACTAACCTGATATCATTGGCGATTTTCATCAAAGAGCACGCTACAACATTGAGAGATCCCGAAACTTCCACCAATGCATCGTGTGCGGCAAGTGCTTCAAATTTATTTGGTGCTGAAGTAAATGGTAAACCAGTCAACTCAGAAATCTTGGCGGCACATTTTTCTGCAAAGCCTTTTCTAGTATTCAAACCAGTACCAACAGCAGTACCACCTATTGCCAGCATATACAACCTGAAAAATATAAAAGTTGAATATTATAGAATTCTTTTATGAGATGTAAGTAGACTTCAGAATTGTATTTTACAATTATCATTCTTATTCATGTTTACATCCCACAGCCACTCGGGTATTGTTATTTAAAATAGAAAATAATATTCAATTTTAGGACTAGGAATCGCACGTTAAAAGGTAAAGACTTCCAATACCAATAAGACAATCGAAGGCCTGCAGTTTAATTTAAAAAATAACAAAACTAGAGGCACACCAGGATTTTAGGCCTGGAAATTTTCATGTTTCAAATGTTAGAAAGGTGAGAAATACATATGGCTTAAATACATGGACGATAATTGGTTTTTGAAAATAAATTGCACCCTTTTACAAGAACTTGAAGAAATGCATGGGTATTCACATCTACCTGAAAATTATCAAGTGATATTTGATGTACTTACATCCTCAAGTTCTAGATACAAAGATATTGGTCTCTACTTTTAGAGACATTTCTGACAGGAAATGTTGAGAAATGCATGTATGACAGTAGCTGTTTGGGTTGGCGTAAGTGGTTAATTGTCCATTGTATTGTGCAACCCGTACTAAAATTTGCAGGTTGAACGGTAAGACTTTGTTAATCCTTAGCTTGCAAAGTTTGACTTCTAAGGGTTGTCCTTCGTAGGGGGGCGTCAGTTGGTTAATGGGAAACCAAATTTCAACAGATTTAACTGATTATCATTAAAGAATAATTTCACAATAGTCACTATATGAAATAGTGGCGGCAGACCAAGAAATGAAATCTAAAAATTTTAGTTTTTTCGTGAATATCTCAGAAACGGTCATTGATAGTCGCGACCTAAAAAAATGCTTTGAGAATATTCCTGTCGGCTCCCGAAGACTTTCATATAAAATCAGTACAAATAGGCAGAGAAGGGAGCCCAGTTGAAAGTACAGTACGAAGTAAGGCAATAGACATTTGAGTGTTAGTCTGAAGTTCAGTTGAAGTTTGTGTGAGGTATTGGCAGTGTAGCAGGGAAATAAAGTTGAGTTTAATTGTAGAGTGTGGTCAATTATTGTTGAACTCACGGGAAAAACGTAAGATTTGGTGTCGGAAATGAATCATTGATTGAAAATTATCTGCTTCATGGTGAAAAAAAGAAGTGATGATTGCGATGGGATGGAAGAGCTAACAAAATGTTCGAGGTTTTGCAAGCGGACCTGGCGGATAATGAAAAACGCAGGAGAGAAAAATATGTACGAAGGATAGAAGAAAAACGTTTGCGAAAAATAGGAAAAAGCCAGGAGACTTGCTGGTAAATATTCAGGAGAAACAAAAGAGAGAGATAGAGTGGAAGATCATAAATTATTTGTAAATATTGAGGAGAAACACCAGGAAGACACAATCAAATGTACCTTCATTTATTTACTCTCAAGTAAGTAAAGGGAAGGCATACGAGATTATTAAGGAAGAATTTGGGAAAGTATTTCAGGAAACAAAGAACGAATTTGAAAAAGTAGTCGACAGAAAATTCGAAGAGATTTTCCGGGAACTTCGGAAAGAATCACCAGAGCCAAAGAGGATCGCTGTGGAAAAATGCAAATTGGAAACAACACCTCGACTTTCTAGTAGTAATTTTGTTGAAACTCCAACTTTCAGAGGTGTATTTTCATGTTTAATTTATCGCAGACGATTTGAGACCGCTTGAAAAATGAGGAGAAAGCAGCAGCTCTTATACTAGCACTACAAGGAAAGACCTCCGAAATTTTGCAAAATATTCCAGTGAATAAGCAGAAGAATTATTGAGCAGTCCTATCAGCTTTGGAGGTTAGGTATGGTAGTGAGAACCTTCAACAAATCTACCAAGCACAACTGAAGGTGACAACTCAATATCCATCCAAAAGTCTGCAGGAGTTTGGGGCTGAAGTCGAAAGGTTGGTAAGACTCGCCTATACAGAAGCATCCGATAACTTCACCCACTGGATTAGTGTCTATAGTTTCATGAATGGGGTTCGTGATACGAAGCTGCAGTAGCCGCTAAGGATGGAACATCATAAAAAATTAAATGTCCTAGAATTCGAAGTCCCAAAATGCTTCGCGCCAACAACAAAAAGTTCTAGTGAGGCCATCAATGAAAAAGAAATTGAAGGAACAGATCGATTTATGGCAGGTCTAGAGAAACTCTTTAAGAAATATTTGATGAATCGAACTACACCCAGTGAAGGAACATTAAATAGAAATGAAATTAAATAGAAACGATGGAGTGCTCATACTCATTCGCTCTCGTCCCCAGTATGAATTTAAAATCATGGCAATGTGTACTGCTATAAAGTTGCAAGTTACCATAAATCAGATTAAACTTCTTCTTACAGTTTTATATAGACCAAAAAAATATCGTCAATACAGAGCTATACAATTATATAACTATGAAGAAAAATAAATCAAATATTTTTCTTGGTGACATGAATATAGATTTACTTAAAGACAGCAATATTAATGTGGAATATTACAAAAATATATTGACTTCATTTAATTTCGTTTCTTTCATAAACAGTTTAACTGGACCAACCAGTAAAACATGTTTGGATCATATTTTTGTAAAAAACACTCTAAATCAAAACAACTATGACTCATTTGTCTTCAACTATGAAATAACAGATCACCTTCCCATAGCTTTCGGTAACATTTATAATGAAAAAACAACAGAAATTCTACGACAAAACAAATACAAAACATACATCAACTACAATACTCTGACATCTGATATTGAAAATGAACATTGGTTCGACATTGACTCTTGATGAAAAAATACCTATAGTATGCAGAACGAGATTTAAGACATATATGGAATTGTTTCAATTATAATAAACTAACATTAAATAAGCAAAAAACGCATTATCTTTCGTTTACACCTTATTCTAACCACCTGCAGTTGTTTAGTCGAAGTACTCTTCTTGACGTATCAACTGAAACTGATGCGCTCATTAGTACCATATTATTTATAGTGCTGATTTTTCGCGCACTTTCTGTAATAGCGGTTTCGCGCATACTTTCCACGCGATTTGGATGACTTGGCTTCGTTTTGGCGCCTTTCAAAACTGTGTGCCAGATCTTTGGTAGATATGTTTTCTCTTCCTTTTTGTTGGAGTTCTTTTGGTGTTTGTGTATTTATATGGTTTTTAAATACATTCTTGTTGAATAATGATTCGACGTTGTTAGTCTCTCGGTATTTTCGCCATTACAGAAAGTGCGCGGAAAATTAGCACTATAAATGCCAAGGCAGAAATTATAGCTTCGGTTTCAGTTGATATGCCAAGAAGAGTACTTCAACCCCGCCACTCGAGATGACTGCCACAATTGCAGTTGAAACGTATGGAGATTGTAACTAAAGAAGACCACGGCAAAGCCCGGAAACCAGCCATATACACACATACACTACATTGAAAAAATCTGGTATAAGTACTTATGAAGTTTGTATATAAATTGTTTTGCAATAAGGGCCTAACCTATTCTATTACTTTAGAAGGCCTTTACAAATTTATTGGCTGTTTCAAAAGAAAAACTAGGCATAGTTGAAATGTAACTTTAGAATAATGTCTTGATCATTCAATATCAACAGTAGTATGAAGAATAATTTCAAATGATAAAAGGATTTCAAATTATAAAAAATATTTTAAAACATTTGCAGTATGAATTATTCGTACTGAAATCATTATTTTGATAAAAATAGGAATCAAATAAGGTAACAAGTAAATGTATACAAGGATATCTTATTTTGGAAAACAAACTGACCTCGGTAAGGTAGCCTTAATTCTGTCGATACCAAACTGCATTTGTTGTACATATCCGCTGAATTCTTGTCCTAGGGTCAAAGGAACTGCATCTTGAGTGTGCGTTCGCCCAATTTTGATAATATTAGCAAATTCTTTAGCTTTTTTGTCAAGGGCTTCTGTCAGCGTTGTCATACCTGGTAACAGGGTGTGTTCTACTTCCATAGCTACAGCTATGTGCATTGCAGTGGGAAATGTATCGTTGCTGCTTTGACTCTTGTTTACATGGTCATTAGGATGGACTGGATCTTTCGAACCCAATTTACCTCCAAGAAGTTCTAAATGAATGCAATAATAAAACTATGAGTCTACATTCCATATGAATACCAATGAAAAAATGGGTTGACCAGTCAAAAAAAAACATGCAATTATTGTACGCAACGAGTATTAATGTGAGTACTACTACATTATCACAATGTAGATTCCAATATATTCCAATTAACCAACTGATCCAATGAACCGTCAAAAACTTATTAAATTCAAGTTTTAAAAATATATCTTCAATTGAAATTGATGGATGTTTATTGAAATATTCATTAAATAATTTACTTTGTTTTGTTGAAAAAAAAAAGTGGATTAATTTGTTTCTCCTCTTTTGTGTAATTGATGACTTATTTATTTTGTGGAAATTCATGATCACTTTAATGAAATGAATGAAAATACTTTTGTCTAATTTCCACTAGTTATTCATTTATACGACCGGGTTCGGGTTTTATCGCGTTATGATTAGTTAGGTTTTATACTTGATAATGGGATAAAACCTGAAACCGATCGTGAAAATAAAATAACTAGTAAAAATTAAACATGTTTTCACTCATTTCATTTCATTCATTAAGTTATTTCTCCTCAATAATAGTCTACATCTTTGTTGGGATAATGTTCTGATGCCAACTTTTTGAAAAACTAAAGAATTTTTATTATTGAAGGTGCCACCAGAAGAAATATATTGAATTAGTTGCAATTTTGAAGCTATTCAAAGCACTGGTAATTAGTAGAAAAATAATCTTCTAACCTATTGCTCTATTGCTTATAACCTCGTTCGTGTTCATATTCGTTTGAGTTCCAGAACCAGTTTGCCAGATAACAAGAGGAAAGTGGTCACAGTAAAGTTTTCCTGAAATGACCTCATCAGCGGCTTGCGAAATGGCATCTGCTATTTTGGCATCAAGGCCATATTCTTTGTTAACAATTGCTGCAGCTTTCTTTAATATTCCCATTGCTGTTATAACTGGATACTGAAAAAAATAGGTATACTATTATAATCAGAATTGCAACAACTTGATTTACATTTTAGCAAAAAAACATTTCAAAATACAAATCAGTTAGATAGGTTTGGCAATCTACCCAATATAGTATTCCGCTAACCGTAATATATTTCTTTTTTGATTTAGTGATGGAAAAAAATAATGATCACTCTCTCATTTTCAAAAAATCGCCTCTAGGCTCTTAAGTAAGTGGAATGAATAATCTTTATTAACAAACTAGATGACCTTAAAAACAGTGACATCAATAATTATAGAACAATAATCTTATGAAAAAACTTAAATACTGTAAGTTTTCTCATTTAGATAGTATAGAACGTAAAAAGTTGAATAAATCCGAAACAAGCACTTTCCCCAATCGCGCACGTTTCATTAATCAAAATGAAGGAGATGGAAGAGTTTTCTTCAGTTGATAGTCTTAAAAAATCCACTGTCCTTCGTTGAATTTAGATTTGTAAGATTAGGACTGTTCATAAACTCACTCAGAATATGATGATCTCAATCCAAATTTTACATAAACGTACTTAGTATAAATAACTTAGCAATGTGTTTCTAATCATGTTATCATACTCTGCTCTATCAGAGTAAGTAAATTTATGACACAACTTAGTCCAACTTTTCACAGGAAGTTACTTTAAATATTTTGTACTGTTTAAATTTGCCATTTGAACAGTACAAAATATTACTTATGAACTTATATCTCCAATAATCAGAGTAATAAGTGGATTTTATTACATTGTATAAAATTTCTCATGAATGATAAGACGTTTCAATATCCATTATGAACGTTTAGTGTTCCAAATGAGAAAAAAATAGTGATTTATGTGAAGTTTAATACAGGCAAGGAGAAGTAGTTGTTTGAAAAGGGTTTTTCTTTTTTTATTTATATCTGAAATAGTTTTCCCAAAACGAACCCTTTTACAACTTGCCAAAACTTTAACACTCTTTACTAATAAAGTTGGTGTTTAGGAGATGAACTGGAGAAATTTCTATTCACTATCGACATGGGTGGAAAAAACACGGTACCCGAAAAAACGCGAGTCCCGAGAGATGATGGGAATTAGTCAGTCAACTCGAGCGAGCCAGGTGAGAGCAATGTTATTCATTTAGTTGTTTATATCCAGATTGGAAAACGGGTGATGGTTTATTCGTTGAGTTCAATTGTAAATTGATGTATCTTTGGGTAAAATATATTTATACGATTATTATATCTGCTTTTCTTATAAAGCAGCGGTGGGATAGATTCACGTCTGTCATTGAACAAAGGTAGGAATTTTTCTTATTAATTGATCAGTTGAGATCAAATTATAGGAGTAAACAGGGAGACCTGAAAAGTCTAGTGTTGCTCAACACGCCTTGGAGTATAACCATAAAATAAATGAACATTATTTCAGATATGCAGTTGGTTATCTCGTTCACAGGCAGATGGGGCGACGACAAACCTGTTGTTTGCTGTATGCTTCAGCTTAATTCGAGGAATGATACTCTGACGGAATTCGATTTTCAATTATCGGAAATCATCGACTTTATGTTGATGATATATACTACCTTGCACTGACGAGTGGCCAAACAGCCCGAAACCGGTCTGCAAGTGTGTTCCAATAATTGAAAATCTATTGCGGCAGTTATATCGCCAATAGCATATGCAGGAATAACTTCAGTGAAGAATCCTGCACTGACACCTGTCGGATATAATCCAACGCCCTTCGTGGTATTAGGCAGGGGAGTAGTTGTTCTCTGAGAGGTGTCAGTCCATTAACCTACTGTGTAGGGAGTTGAGACTGGCCTGAACGAATTGTTCTTAGATAATTTGATTTATAGCCAGTCTTCAAGTATGCCCACTGACTATATGTGAAAATTTAACATTGTTGAGACCAGTACATGACACCAGGCTTTTGAATGCTTTCTAAATTCTGGAAATAGCAAACTGTGGCTTGAGAATTATGAACAGTGACAATTATTTAGTTTCAACCAACCCATTATTTTGATTTAAATCACTGTACAAATTAGCAGGAACTTGTTGAAGTTCCTGAGGTTCCAGTTCTACAGATGAGTACAAGCGATAAATCCTGGTACAGAATGGTTCAATGATTTCATAATCAAAAAATTGACTGTTCTAACACAGCTGAAACTACATTAGAGTAGGATTGAAATGATTGAAAAGTTGTAATCCTATTTTAACAAAAAAGTTTGCAGCCTGCCATTTGAGCGTGGATGTTGTGTTTTTAAAATTCACAAAACTCATTACACAGTTGCATAATGAATAATTTTAATAAAAAAATTATATTTCAACAACTCATGTTACCGAAACCAACCTTAACGCCTTGGTTTATTATCGTCAAATCTGTTGGAAAATGGTTTAACATTATGAAATAGGATTTACTGAGACCTGTAAACACCCATTGTGACCTTTATAACAATTAAGTCTATAGTGTGAAAGAGTTATTTCAAGTTATATGCCCATGAATGAAAATGAGACTTGAGAACTACTAAACATTCATTGAAGTTTAAAATATTAAAAAGTTGCAAAATATAAAGTTCTTGCTAAATAAATAGACATGCACAAAAACATAATTTTCAAATTTACCAAGTTTCCGATTTTTTGGCACGTTTTACTGAAGATGAATTTTGTCAATTCTTTTTTAAAAAGTAATGAATGTCACAAAACAAGCAGACTTTGTGTATGATTTATGAACGGGTTAGTAAGAACAGGCTACCCCTCAATATTGATAAAACAAATACAATTATTTCATGAAAAATGAGAATTAAAACTTTCTATGTTTTTTACCACTTTGTCCTATAAGGACATTATCAAACTCTACATAATGTATAAGTTTGAAAATGTATACATAATAAATATATAGTAAGTTTGAAAATGTCCTTATAGGACAAAACTGCAGTAACGTTAGTTACAAATAAAAGGGGTAGAAAACATAGAAAGTTTCAATTCTCATTTTTTATGATGATTTCCTATGACGTAGTAACGGCTACGTCCATCAATTTACAATTATTTTCGATAGAGACAATCAAATTCGCAACATTCAGAACAGATTCTTTCAAATGACGCCTCAATTAACTATATACAAAACAAGAAACTACTTGGATTAGTGAATGAATGCAATCTGAAATGGAATGGCCATATCAACTCGTTAGTGTGAAATTGTGTACATTATGTTATGCTCTTTGTGTGTCCTTTCAACAATGTAACGTAGGCATTATCAACTTAAACCTACTGATTCGTTCAGAGAAATGATAATTTTAACTATAATACCACTCTATATTCATGAATTTTCTTGTTTCATGTACAAATATAGAAAAAAAAATTAAACAAGAGAGAGTTCAACTGTTCAACATTCCTATGAAACTTGAAACAAAGATTGGTACCACAAAACACTTGTCAAGTCTTTACCAGAAATGCATTTATCACAATGGGTTAAGGCTATTCAATAAGTTACCATATATCAAATATAGTTTGAAAAACCAATTGAGGAATTGGTAATTAGTGAAACTAATTATATTATTGAGGAATGCTTGATTTGATTTTACTGCCATTTTTTTATTTTTTTAATTTATTTACACAAGAGTAACTACCATCAAAACATCTATTCCTCCTTTTAATATTTATTTAATTATTTTCAAACAGGCAAAAACCTCATTACATGAAAATAATTATTCTTATAAAAATGTCAATACAGTCTAAATCATAAATAGAGAATGCTAATATTTATATGTGAATACAGTTACATTGTATATATGAGTAGCTACTACATAAAGCTGAATGGAAAAAAAACAAAGTTATTCTAAGCTTCAAAAGTATATTTTTAAACAACAGTAAACTTGTTTCGGAGGGAGAACAAAGATAATATTTTACATTAACAGGAAGTTGTTTGTTATTTTGATCATTGTAATGATAGGTGAACAGTAGATGTGTATGGTACATGCATATGGTACATCAAAAAATTTAATGAGTCTTGTTGTTCTTTTGGGAATTCTCTCTTTTAGTAAAGATTTGAGATTGGGACAGGTATATATTTTTTTATATATTTTGTAACACAACACTACTATTTTCTAGACTGGGTATTTTAAATTCATTTCGTAGTACTACTGATATAACTGTATTATAATCTGCATATACTTTATATTTTTTGTAAAATGAATATCTCATAAATCTGTTTTTAAATTTTTTCTAATCTATTTTTATGAACAATATGGGAAGGATGCCATACTATAGCCCCATATTCAAGTTTAGGTCTGACCAAACTATTATAGAGTGTAGTAATCACTTTAATGTCATTGAAATGTGCATAATTAGTAGTGGTTGAGATGCTATGTAATCCAAATGTGGTTTATACTAGAGTTATGGAGTTACAGCATATACCTAAATCTTTGGATAATTTAATACCATTCATCGAGTAATTCTATTTGTCTTAGTTAGTTTTCAGGTACAAGACAGGACAGAACATTTGGTATATTGAACAGGTGCTCATTTTTCACACTCCATACGTGAACACCATTGATGTCCTCTTGTATTTTGACACAACCTTGTGAGTTTTCGATCTATGTATAAAATTTAAGGTCGTCTGCGAATAACAGAGACTCAGAGTACTCAAGGGACCCCAGAGTTTGTGCAAAATTTCCCTATACAATTACCCCCATATGTTCCACTTTTTATTGCATATACTGCATAAGACTTTTTTAATGGTTAGTCCCTCTTTACTAGTTTTAGAATATTGACAAATCCTATAATCAATCATCTGTTAACTTCATGTAAGAATAGAATAGATGTTTTTCACTGATGATGGAATAAACAAATGAATAAATAATGATGACTATGTTTTTTAAGGCACTGAAATTTGTAATACAATCATAAATAGCTTATTGCATTTGAAATTTATATGTTTTTCTGTCGATGATTACTTAAAAGTATTTGACTTAATTCCCTAGTAGAATCGTAAACATGTATTCATTGCTAGTAATGACTGCTTTATTAGAACTGTTACATCTGGATGATGGACAATGCAGTTTTTCTATGTTGACTGGGAGAAGTTTATGCTCGAGCAAGTTTTTAAATTCAAAGTCTCACCATTGTCTGTAACTTTTGCCTTACAGAAAATTGTCAAATTCCAATAATATATGCTCTCAATTGAAAACATGACACTAAAATAAATATCAAATAGGATAGACCCCAAGACATCACGAGATTTCATATTAAATTTGCTACCATCTTAACCTACTCAAGTTACAATATATGAAACAAAAATAACTAAAGTCCTGAAAAAAAGTGATAATGAAATTTTTATTCAACAAGTTTTAAGATCATAACACAAGGGGTATAAACCCATTTATGTACAAATAAGGCACAAGCTGTGAAAGTTTTTAATGAATTGCCATTAGGTGTGGGCATGAGCTTTCTAACTTGTTAATTTTTTTAAAATTTTAAGGAAGGATCGATTATAACAGGTGTACCTCATTGAACTTTGGTTTAAACATGAGCTTCAATCTATTTATTATATTTTGTTACATATATTACTGATGATCAGCATTAATGATATCCTAATGATGATGATGAATATGATTGTCCCTAATCATCAGTAATGCTGTTTTATGTAAGCTTACCTAAAATTTTATTTTGTCAGAATATCAAGTGCTTGTTATTTTTTCAAATTGAAAAAAATATTGTGGAACTAATACAAACCACTAAATATTATGGTGCCAGAAGGAAAGTAGGTATTCCCACCATCACAAAAGGTATTTTCCCAAAGTTAGTTAGGTGTGTAATTTTGTTAGTCAGGAATGTGTTTTATAAAGGGAGATGTGTACTTGAATTTGATCCATGTAAATACTTCCCTGAGAGTGGATGCTGAATCACAGACTGTTTTTACATGACTTAAAAAAAAGTTACTCCCCAATCTGTGGCTGAATGAGTATGGAATCTTTAAAACATAAAATTGAAATGAATCTATTTAAAGTTTGAGGAAACTGGTACATAACTGATTTTTCATAATAAAAATGTTATGGAAAAATAATTACCGGCATTCTTTCAAATTCACCCCCAATGGGAAAATTAATTGTTGATCTAACAGTTTGAGCCCCATAGTATCGATTTGATGGAACCTTCAATTCTCCAAAAGTATCCTTTTCAATTCTGTAATCAGCCTGTGGACAAGACGGACAATAATAATACATTTTATGTGGAACTACATGCCATTGTATGTCAATATCTAGATATAGAATGACAATAATTCAATACTGATGACATAATCTACTCACCATAGTTGCAATTTGAGGAGCAAAAGATTCCTTGTATACTTTCAACACCGATTTAATACCAGCAGTCATACGACTGTGGGTTTTAGAAAGTCTTGATAAGGCCATTATTTGTTATTGAATTAAATCCACGTCCTTGAACCTTGCCAGAAATCAATTAAAAAAGTGGAACTGAAGAGAAGAATACAAACATCAAAAACCAGTTTTTGACAACTGTCAAATCCTGAGATAGATATCACTGAAGCCGTGTTGCCAGACTACCGAAACCAAATTTAAGATCATCATATTCATCCAATTATTTTATTTTATCGATACAAGACCTCAAAATTTTATTCATAAATTTTCATTTTTATCGAAAACTTTTATTATTGCTCGAAAATTATAAAGTTTGAATTGAAAACATTGACATATTATATTCTCAGTTGCATTCATAGATATAAGAATCAAATTAAATCAATTTTATTGATGACACATAAATGTTAATTTCATGGCTGTCAGTTTGATCGCTGTTCGGAAGAAGAGTTAAATCAATAATAATAACACAAGCCCTCAATATTTTATAAAAAAAATCAATGGTTTAATGAGAACTTGTTAGCTATACCATGAGAGCAAAAAATATGATAAAACCCTATTTTTTCGATTTCATTTAAATTCAGAATGACTATTTCATTCCAACTAAATATGATTAAGTTTCAATTATGATTCAAGATTTCTAAATAGTTGTTGGTATTCAAGAATGATTTATGTGAATCAGTTGTGAATCAGTGAAGTCTGACAATTCATTTTTCATCTAGGTCTCTGTTCTTTTTTGTATTGGTGAGCCTAATTTGATTTACATATTTGACTTTGCATTGTCTCAGTAGAGTTAGGATCTATAGTTACTGTCAGAAGTCAGAATCATAATATCAAATTGAACCTATGAATTTCTGTAGAAGCATTCGTCCAAAGTTATTATATTAGGTCACCATTATATTTTCATATTTTATTCCATTGATTCAATTCGATTAGAACAGTAACAGTGATTGAGATGCGAGAATGATGCATAACTAGCCCCCGAAAATCACGTATGATGCAAAAATAATTACAAGATATTAATTGCCAGTTTTATCGCTGTAAAATTCTGGTTCAGTGGCCTAGCCTTCATTTTTTTAATTTTATCGGTTTGAAAGAAATACTCGATTTAATACTGGTATTGGTGGCCTATCCTACTATTGTTTAATTACTTAATCGTTTTGAAGAAAATAATCACTGAAATCATTTCTACAGAAATTAAATTATAATTTTTCGAAATTAATATCTGCATCGATAACTATTTGGCAATACCTTGGTTCACTTTTTGTACATAGCCAATATTCATCATTTTTTTTTGTTACAATTTACGACCATAGCTTTTAAATTTTATATCTAAATTATTTCAAATTGATAGAATGCATTCATAAGTATAAATGGGTGTGCAAGAAATTGTTAAAAGTAATCTGTGACAAAAAGCTACATTACCATCTCTAAAATCGTTATGTTACCTTTTGATCCCAGTTGAAAATAATTGTAAACGACGCAAATAATGGTAACATGACAACGCTGCACGATGCCAGTTAAATCACAAAATACCTGTTTATAGGTAATAGGTATTGTATTGTGTGGCTGAGTTTTTTTCACTCTCTATCTAAGTAATTATGGCCTTTCTTTCTTGTTGGATAATGTGGCTGTGACGGAGGGATAATATACCCGCGGAAATAGTGTTTCGTTATTCTCTCTTTGATTACTCTCTGATACGAGCCAAAAACAACGGTCACTGCCTACCTATCTCAATTTTTCAACTTAATTTTCATGTTCAGTTTGAAATGAAAATGATAAATATTTCATGGTTTCGGCTGATAACATTGGTATTTACTTTTTCCAAAATAAAACTTACCTTTGAAACTATCGTATGTTATATGTTTAAAATATATTTTTTCCGTTAATCAGCTATCACACCCCTACGAACGACAACCCTCAGAAGTTGAAACTTGTGCAAGCTAAGGACTTACGAGGTATTATCTTTTAACGTGTGATTCCTAAGCCTGGGGCTTGAACCATCGCCGCACACATCGGCCGATTGACTGAGTGAACAAAGCACCCACGGCGAACCGCCCGGCCTAGGATAGAATTCTGCTGTACAGGAATATATCACCTTTGCATAAAGAGGTCACTTTTATGAAAAAAAAATCTATTTTCCTGCCCAATTTTTTACAGCCTTTGGTGAATAAATATGCCAGTCATGATTAATACAGTTGACTCGCAATAGTCCCGCATGTATGTATCGAGGTGCCAATAATAATTCTAATTAGATATTACATTGATAAACGCAGGAGGGCCACAGAGTGAGCGACATCTAGGCCATTTAATCTGAATATTAAACTCAGAAAATCACCGTAGTTAGACAATGACCTAGTCTCAAAACTTTTAATATTAGGTGTTACATTTATTTACTGAAATATTTGTTTCCATAAAGACTAAAAAATACAAAAATTGTGTTCAGTGAGGTAGTGTAAAAACAGTGTTTCGGAAAATGCAAGACCAGCCAAAAATCCGAAAGAACCAAAGGAAATAATAAAATTACGTTCACAATCACTAAACTATGGAAGTGCAGAAGGCCACATATTTTTATTATTTGTTTCTTGAAAATTACGAGTTTAAAGTCGCAATTTCAACTCCAAACTCAAAATTTCCAGTATAAAGTGGACATTTTCAGTTTTAAAGTCATAATTTCGTAAGAATATATAACAAAAGTAGAAACATGGCTTTTCTGCGCTTGCGTAGTTGAGAACTTGTGAAGTTAATCTTCATTTCTTTGCATCTTTTGGATTGAAGCCGAAGTTTTAGTTCAAAGTGTTAATTTCAAGTATAAAATCGAAATTTCGAGATTGAAGTCGAAATTTCGAGTTTGAAGTCGTAATTTCGAGTAAGAACGATGACATTTCCCCTTACGAAGACGCCATCTATGGGATCGATAAAGAACTCAATCCTTGAATATAAAAAATAAGCAAGATTCCCAAAAGCAGTCAGTTTCAAAGCCAAGCTTTGACATTGGCTACCAACGAGTTTTGCCATCTCTCTTTCACTGCAAAGTAACTCGTTGTGAACTAGAGTCCAAACAAAAAGTATTTATGATTCAACATGAGCCATCACTATTTCGACCCGTCATAGGTTTAATCAGTAATGCTAGGCTGTGAGCCACAAATGCATAAGATTATGACATCTTCATAAGGGGAGATGTCATCGCTCTTACTTAGGCTTGTCTTTTCATGACAGTTTAGTCCAGCAATGCATTTGTGGTTCAGCCTAGCACCACTGATGAGACCTGAAAAAGACGTTACTTTTTCGAAATATTGTAAATATACATATACTTTACATTCACTATCAACATAATTTCTGCTAATATGACAATTTAATCGGCGATTTTTTGTTTTAGAATACATTCATGAATTCTCCTCAATAGACATTATTTTCTTATCAACATCCTTATATTTGTAATACATAGTGAAAGATGCATAGAACCCTTGATGTTTTGACGGACTTGTTTTTTCAAAAACTTTTGACATGTAAAATGAGATTGTATCAACTTTGTAAACATGTTGATTGATGAAAAGGTATCTGTCGCGCGTTTTTCGTCGAGATTTTTAATGTATGGACCTTAATGTAAAACAATCTTTCATCTTATATTGATTTATTCCAAAATGTAAACAACATTTTAAAGTAAGGTTCCAACTTGACATTGCCGAACTACGTCTTTGAGTTGTACTCATTGGATCTTTACTATTTATTTATCAAGAGTGCCCTAGGCTTCCAGTTTTCAACACAATATCTAACATGGGAAAGGGTTTTGAGTGGTCACATCAGGGATATTCTATGCATCGTGACATAGTTTTTGAGTGACTTTATTTGTATTATATTCTAAATTAGATCTATAGACAAATCAACATGAATGAATGACTAATTTATGAAAGTATCATACATTGGATGAACAGGGGAAAATAGAAATATTGGAATTTTACTTTAAAATAATTTGTATTATTTCACTCTACATAGAAAATGAGTTAAATAAGTTCACATAATACATAACATTTAACATAAACAATGGTATACTGCATTTCTAAAAAATGTCAAAATTTGGTCAAAAAAATGTGGATAGAAAAATCTATGATCTGCAACTCATTTTTCTATAAGAGAATTTCATTTCACAATATCCTTATTTAGAAAGAAGCACAGGACAACATACATATTGGCAAAGGTAAAATTATCCTACTGATGTGCACATTGTATACCAGGTCCACCATGCATTTGATCTTCATCATCACTGGCATAAGCTTCTCCTCGACCTGAATTTGAACTTCTTTCGTTAGGGTCAAAGTCCAACAAATCCACCTCTTCAACATTTTCTCCTTGTGGCATTGTGAATGCAGATCGTGGAGGAAGTAATGTTTCCAAAACATTCAAATTAGCTTCAGTTGTGAAATGATTTTCAGGAAATTTAATTTCAAATGCAATATATAGGTTTCCCTTCTCGAAGGGATTTTTATAACGAGGCATACCTTCACCGATTACTGTCTTGACATCTCCAGGTTTAACTACGGTACCTGCAGGTTGTTTAATCAAAATTTCACGACCATCTAAATGACGCAAAACAAACGAAAATCCACACAATGCCTCGGTAAGTGAAATTGAGTGTTTCATATGGAGGTCATCACCGCTCCTTTCAAATTTTTCATGGGGTTTCTGCTGTAAAACTATAATCACATCCCCAGCTGCAACATCAGGTTGTTGATCACCTTCTCCACGGAAAAATATCTTTTGATTTTCTTTCATACCTTTATCAACATGAACTTCAAGAATTTTAGTTTCATTACAAACTTTCTTACCCTTGCAGGTAGTGCATCTATCTTTTTCTTTTATTACCTCACATTCACCTTTGCATTCTGGACATCGGACTTGTGTTTGTTGTGCCATTCCCGGGGCTATCTGGCGATAAGATACTTTAAGCCCACAACCATCACAAGTACGACATTTTTCAGTGTGACCACTTTTACTACCTTTGCCAGAACATGCAGAACATATTACATTTTTACTAAGTTGCAATTTAGATGTTTTACCACTGTACATGTCTTCCAATGTGACCTTCAGAGGATGAACTGTATCGTCACCTCTATGTGGTCGTCTATGCATGCCTGCTCCACCAAATCCTCCAAAACCCCCAAACAAATTTCCCCCGAAAATATGTGAGAGTAAATCATCGCTGCTGTGTCCTTCATGAGCTCCCTCTTGTAATCCCTTAAGCCCAACACGATCGTAAGTAGATCTTTTTCTTGAGTCTGATAAGATTTCATAAGCATAACTTATTTCTTTAAATTTATCGCCAGCTTCTGGATTTTTATCTGGATGGAACTCTTTGGCTAATTTTCTGTATTGCTGTAATTAAAAAAAACTTCCATAAAAATGTGACAAAGAATACATAGGTATCGGCCTTGTGAAAAAATTTTTGCCATCAGAACGGTCTGAACCACAGTTCTGATATAGTAATTAAATGAATGATTATAACAATAAAAAATCAGTAATCTCACCTTTTTTATTTCATTATCTGATGCAGTTCTACTCACTCCTAAAATATCATAAAGTTTGTTGTCTGCCATCTTTCTAAACAAGGAATGAAAGGATTAAAGATTGGAAGCACAGAACAAGAATGATGAACACTGCAAGTGACAATTGACAAGACATATTTCTTTTTAGAGAAAGAGTTGCCCTAGCAACTTTTGAACCAAATTACATGACACTTATCATTGATTCCTAACATTGTATACAAAGCAAACAATTTAAAATCTATTATTAGCTTACTGCCATTGAAAAGCGATATTGTCGTCAAGAATGTGATCATAATTATAAACTAACGTGCTCATCTGATTATCTAAATGAACAATTCGTTAAGGCTAGTCTTAACTATAGTATCTTTACACTATGTCTCCGACACCTATTAGAAAACAAGTACTCCACTGGCTAATACCACGAAGGGCGTTGGATTATATCCGTTAGGTATCAGTGCAGGATTCTTCACTGAAGTCATCACTGCATATGGCAATACAACTGCGGAAATCGATTTTCAGTTATTGGAACAGACTTGCAGGCCGGTTTCGGGCTGTTTGGCCACTCATCAGTGCAAGGTAGTTTCTATCATCGACATGAAGTCGATGATTTCCCATGATTGAAAATTGAATTCCTTTCAGAGTATCATTTCTCGAACTAGGCTGAAACGAACGACAAACAATATGTTGGTCATCGCCCCATCTGCCATGAACAAGGTAATCAACTGCATAGCCGAATTTGACCAATTCATCGTATAAGGAAGAAAACTTCACATTAACTGAGTGGGCACACTTAAAGACTGGCTGTATATCCAATTATCTAAAAGAACAATTCGTTCAGGCCAGTCTCACCTTGCCTACACTGTCGGTTAATGGACTGACAACTATCAGAAAACAACTACTTTCCTGGCTAATACCACGAAGGATATAAGTTATAAGGTATAAGTTATTCCTGCATATGCAATCCAAATAAATGATTCAATTATATAGTGATCCAATATTATTAGCCACAGGCATTATACGTACGTTCGAAGATAGAATATGCAAGGATCGTCTGGAGTCCATTCTATGAGATTCATAACATAGCCATTGAAAGAGTTCAAAGAAAGTTTTGTAAATTTCTAATTTTCAGAATAGATGGTTCTTACCCTGAGAGAGGTATCAGTAATGATGTCATATATGAACGTTTGGAACTTTTTAGTTTAGAGCATCGCAGAAAATGTGCGTCGCTCATATTTTTTCAAGTTAGTGAATGAGAGAGTTGACTGTCTAAAATTCTTGAACAAATTAACTTCAATGTACCACGGCCAGCTTCACAATCTAAATCCATTTTTAGACCTCTCAGAGCAAGAACTAACATTACGCTCAATTCCCCAATATATGTTATGTGCACAAATTTCAATAGCATTTGTACCCATGGTGATTTATTCTTCACTAACCATCATAACATTATTAATTAATTGCTAACATGTACTTGAAGTAGGTAATTAGAATTAGTTTTTCTTTTTTGTTCATTTTATTTTTCATTTATAGTTAAGTATTGTGAATAAAATTTTATATTGTCCTGTAAATGGGTAACTGTTGGACAATAAAGCTATTATTATTATTACAAAAACCGCCATACGTGTTTTGCTATACAATAGCTTCCTTAAGCGCTTGAGGAAGCTATTCAATAAACTGTATCAATTAGTTTCAAATAGAAAAGTGTCTTATTCAAATGCAAGACAATAGAAATCATTTATGTGTGAGGTTACTAAAGTTGAAGGTCTATTCACTGTGAGTTAGATTTTTCGAAAAGAATATGCTATACTTGAATTCATCAATCATCACGAAAGGTGCTTCTTCCTGAAATTTCGCTAATATTGAAAAAAAAAATTACCTATGATTTTTTACTTCAGTCCAGCTTGTTTCATCATGACAAACTTATTATAATGTGTTGAAATTGTTTATCTTGTTCCACGGGTATTGAAGCTACTATTTCAATTACTTCACTACAAGATGAAGATGATATTGTATTTTCATGCCATTTTACCAAGCACTGAAGCCAATCCACCTCAAAGAGCTGAAAAATATGCACGGAGTTTAATTGTCATTGACCTGGTTTTCCTATGGAACATCAGAACTGACACTCGTTTCACCTATTGAACATAAAATATGCACTCACCTGGTGCTGGTTGTACTGTTAGGTTTAAATATTCTGTGGTTTTAGCAGTGACATGAGTTTTACCAATGGAAAACACAACAAAAAATTGATCACTCCTAAAAATATGCTCTTTTCAATTCATTAAAGCTGAGATTAAATGAAAAAAGCAAATTTGTTTGTTTCAATGATTTATAATCAAGATGTTATGAAAGAAATGAGTGATTCATCTTATAATGTTATCCAAAACGGTGCTAATAGACAAGTAAGTATTTTATCCAGAAACATCTAAGTACACAATTGAGGATGATAGTATTCCATGTAACTTTTTATATCAATACATTCTGTAGCGTTCCTATGAATGATATCTGAATAGAAAAAAATTATTTTCGTTAGTTTTTTCTTCCTTTTTTTTTGAAGTTTCTCACATTTTATGTTTAATGATGGAGAAGTAGAAAGCCAAAATGCTTCTTCCCATAAAGTACCCTCATTTTAAAGACTTGAAGAACAAAGAAATTTTACCTCAATTACCTCAGCAGTTAGATGGAATGCACATACTGATACAAAAACCTACTATCTATAACTTTCAACCAAAATCATGTGTATATGGACATTAATGTTAGTTTTAGTAACTTTGGTTGTCAGAAATCCTCCTTTGAGGTGCCATATGAACTGGTCATTAATATGGTGTCAGTGTGCTCTCCCAAACAATCAATTGGTAGGTATAGCCTTTCAATATGTATTGATCAATAGTAATGACTCAATTCCTCATTAAAAGTTGAACAACTTGCACTGATTGCATTTTCAGAACTAGTTGAACTTTGATTTCAATGTTAGGAAATTAAATTTCAATGTCTTGCAAAATGAAGATTTTATAAGAGTAGCCCTCAGGCCTAACTTTGTTCTAGGTACAATTATTGTTTTTATTGTAATTTGCTCAATAAAGTTGAATCATCGTTATTCTTACTGGGATGCAATAGACTTTTCAATTATACTTCTATATTTTTTGAAGGTGGTTGACAATGTTTCGTGGTGCATTTCATCAGTTCGGACTTCCATTGTCTAATATGATATAAATTGATTTGAAATCCCAGGAAGAATCTGTAAAAAACTAAAAAGATTAGCTGAAAAAACAATTTTATTGAGCAAAAAATTGAAATTACAATGAAATAATCTACAAGCAACAACTAAAAAAATTGAACTATTAACACGAACTGAAAAATCAAAAAATAATCAACAAGAAATGAAAATTGAAAATATAAAATTAAAAGATTCCATACCAAGTTACTTCACGAAGTTTCTATTAGTATCCACAATCGTCTTCGGGTGATAACTTATATAGCAATCACCCGAAGACGATTGTGGATACTAACAATTGAAACGTCGTGAAGTAACTTGGCTTAGAACCTTTAAATTTTATATTTTTGATTTTCATTTTTTGTTAACAATTTTTTAATTTTTCAGGTTGTGTTAATAGTTCAATTGTTTTGGTTTTTTGGTTGTTGCTTGTATGTTATTTCATTGTAATTTCAGTTTTTTGCTTAATAAAATTGTTTTATCAGCTAATCTTTTTAATATTTTAGATTCTTCCAGGGATTTCAAATCAATTTATATCATATTAGACTATGGAAGTCCGAAATGATCTGTCTAAAATCTGTTTTTCCGTTAATCAGCTGTCGCCCCCATACGAATGACAACTCTCAGAAGTTGAGAAACTTGTGATGAAAATATACTTCTACACTCTCAACAAAATTTTTTGAAATTAAAGGGCCAAGTATATTAAAATAATTTATTATAAATCACCCAGGAGTAAAAAAATACTACTTTCTGAACACATTCCACCAAATTAAGAATATATTCTTGTTGAACTTGTCTTACCCTAATATTAAAAAATTAGGAGGCCTCACATTTTCTTTTCTTACAAGCAGGTTCTTCTGTTTGGATGATCGGAATATTTCTACATTTTCTTTGGCTGTTCTTTATTGGGATCAAAACGTTCATAGTTAAGGCATAGTGCCTAATGAAATGTCTGAAAATTTGACCATATTCAACATTTTTCTCTTCATCTTCTCCAGTCACTTTTACAGATATTTCTTCAGGTTAGAAGTGTTGTTAAACGTTAAGATTGACCTGGAACTTATCTTCATCGACATCAACAGTCGAATCAAAATCTGCTTCGAAGGCAGTGGTTTTCCAATTCCCAAGTCTATCAGCCTTGGGGTCAAGTAACCTTTTGATAAATGTTAGTACCAAATCATTAGATGGTGGAAATTCATAAAAAGACAGGGGTTTCCAAGTCATTTTTTTCTCTCAATATAAGTCCTCTTCATACACCTAAACAAAATGTTTTAGTGTTTCATGATAAAATTTAGGTTTTTTAAAAAATACTCCCCAACTATTCAAAGAATCATTCTGGAACAATATTTTATGTATAAAACCTAATTTCTGGTTTATTCCAGCAAATTACGGCAAGCCGTAAACAGTAAACGTAAACAACGCCGTCTGCCGCCGCAAAATGAAAATTTTGACACCATTACTGGCAATTCATCGGATATTGATAATTTTGAACCCAAGAGGTAGAAATAACAAGTGATNCGGGTACAAATTCAAAAACACTATTTATTATTTCACTAACAGCCAAACAAATCTAAAAACTAAACTTTGTTAAAAATCATAAAAATAAAAGTTGTTTGGGAGGCATCATACTGCGCTTTATTTCAATCATAAAATATAAGAAAAAAAAATAATTTTCTTCTATTACCGTACAGAGCAAAAGCAAGAAAAGTACAATTATCTATAAGGATTCATAAGTATCAATTTGAATTTCAGTGTTTTTAAACGGTTTTTTACCTTACCCTGTTTGTTTTTTCAACGACAACCTTTGTATAGCGATAATAGCCGATGAATGAATAAGAGACGTTCGAGTTTACATCGTTTTAGACGAAGATAACCGAACATTCTAGAAATCGCCAATAAACATGCTGATAGAATGAGAAGAATTATCTAGATCTGGCCAATCAGGTATAAATAACCCAGTGGGCGCGTGGCGTGTCAGTTTGAATTTGAAAAGTCGCGATTTACTTCGAGTGGAATATTCCTACTTTTTATTAGTGAATTGTGAAGTGTTTCATTGACAACGTGTTTTTGAAATGTCGTTATTACCTTATTTTTTCGATGACCATTGGACGAGACCCGATTGGAGAAGAAATCGGGATTTATTCGACGTCGATTTCTTCCAACCCACAATTCCACGCTCTTTAATAAGATTTCCAGACTATTTTAGAAACTTAGAGGCAGCCCTTCAAGATACTGGATCTTCTGTAAAGTACGACAAGGATAAATTCTACGCTAATTTTGATGTGCAGCATTTCAAACCAAATGAAATATCGGTGAAAGTTACTGGAGATCGAACAGTGACGGTGGAAGGAAAACATGAAGAGAAACAAGACGAGCATGGGCACATCTACAGACATTTTGTGAGAAAATATGTCGTTCCCGAAAACTGCGACATGGAAAGATTGGAATCTAAGTTATCGACGGATGGTGTTCTTACAGTCAGTGTTCCCAGAACAGGTGAAAAGATAGATCAAACCAAAGAAATTCCCATTAGTCGAACGGGTAAACCGGCAAAATCTTTGGAAGACAAAAAATCTAAATTATGAATTGTGAAATTTCGAATTTCTGAATTGTAAAATTTCAAAGATTTGAATTGTACTTGGAAATTTAGAAGACTGGTTAATTGTGATTTTGTTGTTGAATAAAATTATATCTTGAAATTTTTTCTGTTTCATTATTCATGTAATGTAGATGATCAGATTCGTATTTTTCGACATGCAAGTTGTTTTTATCTTGTAATATCCAAAATGATAATACATTTCATATATATATTCCACTTCGGATAGAAAGGAGTAGTTTTTCGATGACAAATTGCTTTCAAAGCGTCTCATCTAAAATGGTATATTCTTGTAATATACTTATCATTAATTCAGAGTGATTATAGTGTCAGTTGACTTTCGAAAGAGTTTAAAGTTATGTTTTAGAAAAGTAGTTCAAAAAGCTCATAACTTATAATAGTTCGATCCAATAACCTATTCCCTCTTTAGTCTTGAATTCAAATAGATTTTTGAACGAAAAAAAATGTTTGGATTATAAAGTATGATTTGTTCTGAATCGAATTCTATCATAAAATTAGAACTTTCAACGATTTTCCAACTCTGTAGTATTCTCATTTTTGTATCCCATATTCACGGAAACACGTGCACTACGATATGATGGTTGCGAACCACAAGGCGTAATTTTGTTTAACTATAACTTCATTCGCTTTTTACTTACATAAAATGAAATATAGAATTTGTAAATTTATTTATTGTAATAAGAAAAGTGATTCTATTACGGTCAATTGACTTTTTCTCTCACTAATAAATGTTTCAGAATTATTGAAGTTATTTACGATTCGTGTACTACTGGGGTAGACATTATCAAAGGCAATGAGGTAAAGACCGAAGTGCTCGAGTTGCTATCAGCCTTGGGGTCAAGTAACCTTTTGATAAATGTTAGTACCAAATCATTAGATGGTGGAAATTCATAAAAAGACAGGGGTTTCCAAGTCATTTTTTTCTCTCAATATAAGTCCTCTTCATACACCTAAACAAAATGTTTTAGTGTTTCATGATAAAATTTAGGTTTTTTAAAAAATACTCCCCAACTATTCAAAGAATCATTCTGGAACAATATTTTATGTATAAAACCTAATTTCTGGTTTATTCCAGCAAATTACGGCAAGCCGTAAACAGTAAACGTAAACAACGCCGTCTGCCGCCGCAAAATGAAAATTTCGACACCATTACTGGCAATTCATCGGATATTGATAATTTTGAACCCAAGAGGTAGAAATAACAAGTGATTAAGGAGAACAAAATTACGGTCGAATGGAACCTAGAAAACCAATCGTTTCGTCTGCTACTGAGGAAGATATAATCAGTAGTATGTTCGTTTACTGCGAAAACGAAAGTTATATCTCGTCTGTCGCAGTAGCAGACGAAACGCTTTTTGTACTCTCGGTTCTATTCGACCGCGACCTCCCAGCCTGGATTATGGTCTCTTTAATCATAACTGCGGTCACGAGAGCCTATGTTCTTATATTAACCAGTGACTATTTATATTGATGAAGGTTGGCAGAATTCTTTGATTATTTCTACTACAAATCACCTAATATTAATTAAAATTTGAAATATACGTTTTATACAATGAATTTGTAGTTGAAACAGTATGTAACAGTAATGTATTTAAATATTTACGATTTTACAAGTAAGGAATTGTACTGCAATAACTATTGAGAAGAGCTCCCAAGTTTTGTACTTGACACTGAGTACAAAAGATAAGGAGGTGCCAGTATGGAAAAATGAGAAACCGCGAGACATAAAAGGCCGGTTGAATTGTCATCTTATTTGAAAGACTTTTTCAATTCAGAAAGTTACAATTAATTCCGTAGAAAACCAAAGCTTGCCAATTACGTTTAGTTTTTTTCTGAGGTGATTCAAGAAGATATTGAAACTGTATATTATCGCGTGTATATTATTACAGATTTTTTACGACGTTTCGTCTCCAAGAAATCATCACAAATTAAAATTTTAATGTGGCAAAAATAATCACCCGGTCTAAGTTAGCATTTTGCTGGCAACTTCACCGATGCATCTCCTCAATTTAACCGAGTTTATATCTCCTAGGTTTCCGATTTCTTCCATATAGCAATCGCGATCCCTATCTTACAATTATTTTTCCATCGTCTTAAAAACTACCTAGACTAATTTCATTCCATTCAATAAAATGATTTAACTTTTTTTTTCTTATATGCATGGTCAGAAAGTTAAGAAATAGGAAGGATAAAACAGGGAATTTGTATTAATTATATTATTTGAAAGGAATATTTTCTGCTTAATTCATTATAAATATAATAGAAAATTAGAAAAGATTATGTGATAGTTACCGACAATGTTGAATACTACAAAGCAGTCAGAAATTTCTACAAATCTACTGTTTGATCAAACTGTTTGATCTTCCTCTTGAAGATGATCACTTAGTGATCGAAACACGTGTCGAGGTGTTAAAATAACGGTTGGGTGTTGGGAAAAAACTCCAGTAATATTCATTATTACACCAAAGGTTCCAAACAGTGCATCTCCAAGGATACTTGAAGGNTATAAAGTATGATTTGTTCTGAATCGAATTCTATCATAAAATTAGAACTTTCAACGATTTTCCAACTCTGTAGTATTCTCATTTTTGTATCCCATATTCACGGAAACACGTGCACTACGATATGATGGTTGCGAACCACAAGGCGTAATTTTGTTTAACTATAACTTCATTCGCTTTTTACTTACATAAAATGAAATATAGAATTTGTAAATTTATTTATTGTAATAAGAAAAGTGATTCTATTACGGCCAATTGACTTTTTCTCTCACTAATAAATGTTTCAGAATTATTGAAGTTATTTACGATTCGTGTACTACTGGGGTAGACATTATCAAAGGCAATGAGGTAAAGACCGAAGTGCTCGAGTTGGTGCTCGAGTAGTTGTTCCCGTTGTTTCCAATGCAGAAACTACAATGCTTCAATTTGTATCCGGTTTTATATTATCATAAGTTTGCGTGGCTTGGTTTCCCTTAATTGGATTACATGACCTTGTTTGTCTATTATGGACAGGTATTTCTATTCTGGTTTGCAGGCTGTCAATTTTTGAAAATTATTCCTGAAGTTTCGCTGGCGCGAGTGACTAGCTTCTACATAGTTTTATACATACTGAGTTTATCTCGGATGACTGAGTATTCCGACTACGAAAATCATATCTATGTTGATTCAGGTAGTTTTTTGTGCTAGTTACGTTCTCAGGAAGTTTATTCCACATAAACGCAGTTCTCCAGATGAAAGAGTTCTTGAACAGTGAAGTTCGAGGTATGCTGAGTTGAATCTCAAAACGATGAGCAGCCACAGTCCGTTGATATGTATGTACCGATCTTGGTGAAATCAAATCTGCCAAGTCACTTGAACATCTCCCGTGAAAGTATCTATAGAAGAGAGACAAATCTTCAACCTTTCTTCGATTTTCTAGGCTATCAAGGTTGCACGTGATGTTCGCGTCTCCAATCAGGTGGATGGCTCTTTTCTGGATGGAATCCAGCAACTTCAGGCTATGTTTGTTATCATGATGTTTGTTATCATGATGTTTGTTATCCTTGAACTTTTCTTAGAATGGGATTTCATATTCGTTGAGGTTATGAGGTTCACAGTTTCTTATCTACTGTTGAAATTATCCGTGTGTTTGTGGATCTCTATTGCATCCCGTACAAGTCGCCTATGGTTGGGGACAATGGGTTGGGGACAATGCGTTGGGGGCAGTGCGTGTTCCGCCACAACCGACTTCTTCGTTTGACCTAGTCTCAGAAGTGCACGGTATGCGATATTCCCCTGCTGCTGATAGTGGGTTCTTGGTGGGTTTGAAATCTGATTTATTGTTACGTTTCCTCAGGAGTTTTTTAATTCTGTCTGTGACCCTATGGTAGATACGCACGTGCAACCATCTGAGCCTCCTCCCCGTTTCAAAACGTGGAACTCTTCAGTTTCATGGCCTTGTTGGTCTCGGATAGACTGTATCCATTGGATCTCCAAGTCACTCGAATATGTTCCAGTTCTTCTTCTAGATACTTTGGTTCACATATTCTTCAAGCCCGTTCATTTCAGGGATGGACTAGGACGATGGTTAGATTTTGATAGGGCGTGCAGGTAACTATCCATTACACTTGGTGGGTTAGTCTAGCACCACATCGTTTGATGAATACATCTAGGAATACTATCCGCTGGTTCTATTCAGTCGCCATGGTCTCTATGCTGGGGCGTTGAGCATTCAAGTGGTCTAGGAAACTTCCATGTTTCCAGATGACGAGGGTGTCATCCATGTAAAGTAAGCACAAAATCGGTTTCAACTCAAAGGCGTCGATTGCCTTCTCTTCAAAACTCCCCGCAAGAAATGCTCTGAAGAGTACGACGATATCACTCGGAAACAAGTAGGCCAGAGATAAGTCCCTTATTTTACCAACAAAGTCTGTCGATTTCCTGACGTAGGAATTCGTGTATCCCACATGAGACTGGAGGAACGAAGCCAGATGCTTCGCCGGGTGATAGGTAGGTGCAAACCTGGGTCAGTGATTATCGACCTCAGTGGCTTGTTGGGTTTATGTACCTTCGAAAGAACGTAGAGCTTGGATGTACGGTTTCCGACAGTGAGGAAGATTAAATGAGTTTGTTAACGTTCCACAATCTTGATTGTGGTCAGATGAAGTTATAACAAGTTAAAGAATTTACTGTCTTAAACAAATTTATTTCTAACAATATTTTACTATCACAAACTAATATATTTTCAACACTTAGCAACTAACGCTTAATTTATCTTCACTATTTGAATTCCTTGTTTAACCGCTCGATTCGCTTTCTGAATTCAACTCCCTTTCTGAACGAGGAGCTGGCTTTTTATATCGCTAAAGGTCCATCGTAGAATTCTGTAGTCGGTCAGGGCCGGCTTCAGATTCGTTACATTGCCCTCTTCTTAAAGATGTTCCATCACGAAATGTCATCCTTGGCGTGTGTCGATACCTGCAGGACTGTGAAGTTCGATGGAAGTAACACTCCACGGTCTTCATGCTCGGTCGTGGAAGATGGTTACCGCACACCAAAATCTTCTGGATCTGTAGATCGTTTCCAACATGCTTCTCACAATT